TCCATATAGTATACGATTTTAGAAACCCACAGTCATGTATATGTACATAAACCGTACTCAACAACTGTCAATACATATTCACACACTTTACGCATGGACAATGCACTTTGTCTTCAGAGTCAACATGTTTCCTAGCAATCTCCATAAAGTTTTTAAGACCTTCCAAGAATTTTGGGGACGTTCGGTGTTCCCGAATCCAACTCTTATCGATCGTCATTACTGTTTAATTATAAAAAATTAGATTGTATACATAGTTACAATAAATGTATTTTTATTAGTTTAAATATTTTTATATTTTGTTTACTCTCAATAAACATACTTTTATTAGTTTAAATAATTTTATATTTTCTTTTATGTTGCTATTAGTAACGTTTGTTCTTAATGAAAAACTTTTATTAGTTTAAATCTTTTTATATTTTCACGAATCCAACTCTTATCGACTCTCATTACTATTTCATTATTAAAAATAACATTGTTGTATACATAGTTAAATTGTATGACTTTTTGTTTGAGAAAAAAAAACAGACGGAATGGATATATATTGACAAGTATATAAAGAAATATATACCCTGGAAGTCGGAATCGGATGGAATTGATAGAGTATTCATAAGGGTAGACTTCTAAACACATTTTATAGCAATGTACTATTATTAGTTTGTTTAAAACATTCTATTTTTCACTTCTCTTTCATATTTATAGTATATATACATTTTATCTTTTTCAATTACAGCATTGTACTTTTAATATATATATATTTTTTTATATTTTGTATACCACCATAAACAAGATAAAAAATACTTTTAATATTACTTTTAATAACAACGTAATTTTATTATTTTGTTTTATGTTATAACTTTCAAATAGATATTAAAATAAAATACTTTAATTAACAAGATAAAAAAAAGTATGTTGGTATTAATAACTTTTATATTTTAAATATCTTTAACTTAATAAACATATTTTTATTAGTTTTATATTATATTATTTTGTTTTTTTTTTGGTTTTTTTTTTATCTTTTATATTGACATTAAAGTTTATTAGTTTGTTTAAAACATTAAGATGGTTCAAACAAATATGGTTGAAAGATCAATCACCGAGAATACTAAAGATAAAAATACTTTTAATAGTACCATAAACATGATAAAAAAAAATATTTTTAATATATTTTTTTTATAGAACCATAAACAAGATAAAAAATACTTTTAATATTACTTTTAATAACAACACAATTTTATTATTTTGTTTTATGTTATAACTTTCAAATAGAAATGAAACAAAATACTTTTATTAAAAAGATAAAAAAAAAAAAAGTACGTTGTTATTAATAACTAAACAAATTAAATACAATTCATACATATTTTACATTTTATATATAAACTTTTATACCAACCTAAACAAAGATCACAATCATACAAAATTTCATACCAACCTAAACAATTTCAATTTCATATACCAACCTAAAAAACATAAATTTCATACAATTTCATATACCAACCTAAACAATATCAATTTCATACAACTTCATATGCCAACATAAACAATATCAATTTCATACAATTTCATATACCAACCTAAACAATATCAATTTCATACAATTAGTTTGTTTAAAGTATAAGCCTAAACAAACAACAATACAATCACATATATATATATATATATATATATATATATATATACACACACACACACACACAAAACAAACAATACAATTAGAAAAAAAAATCAAACAACACACACACACACACACACACACACATATATATATATATATATATACAACAAACAAGAATCACATATATATACAACACAATCACATATATATACAACACAATACATATATACAATCACATATATATACAAACACAATCACATATATATACAAACAACAAACAATTTCAACATAATTCAATTTCAATTTCAATAAAAATTAGAAGAAAAAATAAAAAACTAACCTTGTGATATTCCATTTTTTTGGCTAGTCAAAGAAGCAAGTAATATTCCGGTGGTGGCTGGTGGTGGCCACAGGCGGCAACACTAGACGGTGGAAGGGTGATGCAGTGACTAGATTGGTAGAGCTTCACCACCGGTTCCTAAACACCAAAAAAACCCAAATTAGGGGTAAAAATCAATACCAAAACACAATAAAAAACAAATTAGGGGTAGAAATAACCTTGGATTGGCTTAATCGCCGGATATTTTCGTTGGGTAGCCGATTTTGTGCTTGGGAGGAAGGAATTGAGAAAGAAAAGTCGTTGTGTGCAAATGAAAGAAAGCTACGTATCTGTTTTAGGGTATACCCCTATGCCGACGACATGTCGTCAGTATAGGGTTGACATAAACGACTACGTCTCACTTATTACTGAAATAAATAAATAAATAAATAAATATATATATATATATATTAAAAACCCTGTGCTGACGACAAGTCGTCGGCATAGATTATCCCAAAACTACGTCGTTCACATTTTCTGGCACTTGGAATAAAAATAAATGGAAAATACTTTTTTTTACCTATATCGACGACACGTCGTCGGTATAGATTTTCAACTTACCGCCAACATTTTCGTCGTTCCCGCCAGACCTATGGCGACGACTTGTCGTCGGCACAAATGGAGTGGTCAAAGGAAATTGGTCAAAAGTTTCAAAAGTTATGGCGACAACTTGTCGTCGGCATAGGGCACCTGTACCGACGACGTTTGTCGTCGGGATAGCCGTCGTCGCCTCAGTTGAATATTCTTGTAGTGTCTGGTATGAATTTATTTCAACTTATTTGCATTTTCTTGGAGGACTCGTTGAGTTGGAAGCTTCCACTCGACGTGTCAAAGTTGTTTTGGCCACAAAGTTTAATTAGTCAACTCAATGAGTTAAGGTGCCTCAGCTCGACGAGTTGGCAGCTGGGAAAGAAACCCTAAGTTTAGGGTTTTGCACCCTATTTAAACACCTTAGGTTCCAAGTGGTGGCCTCATTCCCAACCTCCATAGCCCTTAACCCTAATCTCGAAACCCTAGAACCTCATTGAGTGTTGTGAGCTCATTATGGGTGTGTTTTGGTGTGTTTAAAGCTCATTGAAGGAAGAGAAGCTTGGTGTAAGTTGGTGGTTCAAGTAGGAGCTTTCAGATCTTGATTCCTCTGCTCCACTTCCAGCACATTTTGGGTATAACATTCTAACCTTGCTTAATATTTTCTTAGATCTCTTATTGGGTTAGATAGTATGCTTTTAGTCATGGATGGGAGTTGTCGGGGAAGTAGAAGTCCCAAGTGTTTATTCTTTCATATCTATGATCTTCATGAGCTCTTTTGGTATAATGGTGTAGTCTTTATGGTCTTAAGGGCTTCATGCATTCATTAAGTCTTTCTTTTAGCCTCTTTTGAGCATTTGAGCCTGTCCCAGTCATGCATGAGTGTAAAGTTGGAAACTTTACGTAGTCATTCAGCTTTTAGGGCCTGATATGCAGTTTGGGGCTATGCTTTTAGTGATTTAGTGCTTAATGATTAAGTCCTTACCTCTTTTAAGCCTAGTCTTGGGTTTTGAACCCATATTGTTGGTTCTTAGGGGTAAAGTTGGAAACTTTACCCTTCTCGAGGCCATTTCAATTATAGATCTGAGTTGTGAAGCTCTTAGTTTCTATAAGGTTGGCTTAATGAATTAAGATGTTGGATTTCTGGTGAACTTGGCGAGTTTATGGGTGAACTCGACAAGTTGGATCGGTTTCTTCCCGACTTTGCAGACTAATAGAGAAACTCGACGAGTTGGGTTAACTCGGGCTATTGACTATGACTTTGACTTTAGTCTTTGACCTATAACGGGCTTTTGGGCATTTTGAGTGGTATTTAAGGAAATCTTTTCTGTTTAGGGGTTGAGTAGAGTCGATATTTGGAGTCGGGATTTGTTCAGCTATCATTCTATATTCGAGGTGAGCTTTTCCTCATAGGGTTTTAGTAGGTCTAAGGCACCAAGGCTAACCCTTGTTGATTATGTTGATATACTCATTGTTTGTGTGATACTTGTATGTGCTTGTATATGTATGCTTATTGGGCGGGGACTGTATTGTGAGTGTGGGCGGAGCCCGTATTGCAACTGTGGGCAAAGCCCGTATTGTAAGTGTGGGCGGGGCCCATTTTATGAGTGTGGGCGGGGCCCGTTATGTGAAGCTGCCTAATTCTTTAAGTAATTTAGGCAGACCAACGTATTCCTTCCATTTCACCTTTTAAACTTATTATGAATTTCTCTGATCCGCATTCCCAACACCAACTCCTAGTTTTTCACGTTTTCTTATAGGTCTCTGAAACTCCTACAAGACAAGCATAGTAGCATTAGTAGTGACAAATATCACCGCAAAAGATCTTTAGCGGCGACAAGGTCGTGACTAAGCCATTGCCGCTATTGTTTTGTACGACACACAATGGCAGATCAAATCGTACTTTCCTTTAATCTTCATATTTTTCATGACTTATTCAAATTTCCTGTAGCAACTCACAACGTTTTAGTTTTGAAAGGTCTAAGATTGTTCAAATCATTTTATCTTTGTTTAAGAAGCAGAGGGCACTTTCGTCTAGTCCTTAATGGGGCTGAAATATGTGCCATTATTATAATAGTGCTTGTCATTGGCCTGAGATAAAGGTGCTACTAATAGTAGTATGATAAAAAGTATAGTAAATATTTCATAGTTTTTACTAAAAGCCTACCTAATATTTAAGGAATATGCTCATGTGTAACGAAGGCCGCATTTTTCAGTGTTGGTATCTAAAACCTTCTCCGGACAAAGTCCTTAATAGTATAACCATCTGTTAGTATTGGTCTCCCAGTGGTAGTTGTATATAATTCTTTGTTAAACTTTCCATGTCATGTATAGCTTGAAGATGTACAAGCATACAATCACTGTTACATATAGAAAAACACACGCAACATCCATTATATAAGTGCCTCATGCATTAGTTGTTCAAGTACCACCATTAGAGAGGAAATCTAGCTAGTCATAGTAGTCTTAAAGAAAAAAGAGATGGCTGTAACAGGAAAGATAGGTGAAGTTGAAATCAAATGTCATCGTCACCTGGCCTTTGAACTTTTCAAGCACAAGCCACACGACACGTCAGTCATCGACCCTGAGAGGATTGAAGCTTGCCATTTAGTTTCCGGTGAATGGGGTGTTCCTGGAGCTGTCATTCTGTGGGACTACTACCATGGTAAACTACTTCATCCGTGCTAATTGAATATAAAAACTTGTTATATGTTGGATCGATACAACACGACACACACACACATCTATGCATGTAAATATTTACAAACTATTTGTGGTTTTTCTGTAGATGAAAAAAAGGAAACTGCTAAAGAAATCATTGAAGAAATTGATGATGAATTACACAAAATTGTTTTCAAAGTGATTCGAGATATCTTGGAGGTGTATAATTCCCTTAGTTTCATCTTTACCACCAAAGATGTGGGCGATAAGAAGTTTGTTATCTGGACTATAGAGTTCGAGAAAGCAAACCCAAGTATACCGGATCCAACATCGTATATGGACGTGGTTTGTGGAATAGTTGGAAATATGGATTCTCATTTTCTCAAGTAACCATGATGTCGCCTATATATTCAGTAAATAATTATTGCTGACATTATCAGCTCCAACACCGACTTGCTTGGTGTTAAAGGGAAGTGATTGTCCAATAAATAAATGTCAGCTGCTGGTGTATTTATATTGGAGTAAATTACACAAATGGTCCTTATGGTTTGGGATAATTTGCGCGTTTGGTCCCTAACTTATTTTTTTAACTCGGAAGGTCCCTATTATTTGTTTTTGTTACGCGCTTGTCCCTACTGTTTGTTTTTGTGACGCACTTGGTCCCTGTCTTACCTAAAAATACCATTATTTAAATAGGGAAAATGGTGGGGTGCGTAAGGTAAGGTGAGAGGAGTGGGGCTAAGGGTGTGTTTGTTTAAATAAATTAAAAAATCATTGAAAAAATAGTCTTTTTAGGTAAGACAGGGACCAAGTGTGTAACAAAAACAAACAGTATGGACCTTCCGAGTTAAAAAAATAAGTTATGGACCAAACGCGCAAATTACCCTAAACCATAGGGACCATTTGCGTAATTTACTCTAAATATTGATGCTTATGAAGATATGTATTTATATTGTAAACTAGCATGGTGTTATGGTGTATTTCAGTTACTTGTGTGTGATCGGACTGTTTGATCTTTTGCTTGATTTTTGAAACTAAAACTCACTTTTGATAGTCAAGTTTAAGACTTCGGAATGGTTTATGTAATGTGCAAAACTATCGAATGGTTTAAGACTTTTATTTTTCTTTTTAAGGTTTTGATCAGCATGACCTTTAAAGCGTTAAATCATTTTGTTTTCGTATTTTGGTGGTGCTCTTAAATGAAAATGTCACTGAAGATACGGACAAGAATCAAACTCACAAGAATAAACTCTCGATGAATCACAATCACGGATTCCCATGAAACGTAGCTAACACCTGTCCATGTGGACAAGAATACTCTTCAGGAATCAAATTCACGAAACGGATTTTATATGTAGTGTCGCTTACCAGAGAGAAACTTCATAACACTTATAATGAAGTCTTAACCGGTTCAGAACCAAATGAGACGGCTCACGGCTAGCAATCAAGCAAACAGTGATTCATGGGTTGTGTTTATATTTTAGACTTCTGGCATTAATTATACTATATAAGTGTATATTTTAGACTTCTGGCATTAATTATATTGTATAAGTGTATATCTAAGGTACCCTCATGTACATTACCACATTGCACATGTGAGGATATAACCGAATGGAGTGATTGTGGAGCCGGACCAGGTCTGAAATAGAAATTAAATGTAAGGAATTCTTTGGGAAAATATCAAAATTACAGACCAATCTTGCAATTTATGTAACGCTTAGGGACCATTTTTGTATATATTTGTATTTGTATAGTTAGGCCCACTATCCTTTGCATGTATTCGTATGTATCGGCCTATGATCATCATCGTATTTATTCTTATTTGTAATGCCTAATTCATTATGGGAAAATATTGGACTTAACAATAAGAATTTAATAGTTTTACTCTAAAAGGTTCCAATTTCTTTTAGAAATATACACATCTGAGGGCTGGTCCAGTCCTTCATGCATTATCGGTGATGCACAACTACAAGTGGTATAATAATGTTCCATTAAAATTCCCATGAAATGCAAAGTTTGAAGATGCACAACTACAAGTGGAAATACCCATAAAAGATGCCCAAAACACAACTGGAAATAACCATATATAAAAAGGAAATGCAAAGCTAGATATAGGCTCGCAAGAAAAAAAAGATGGCTAAAATAGGTAAGTTAGTCCGTGAAGTTGAAATCAAAAGTGATATTAACTTGGTCTATGAAATCTACAAGCACAAACCAAACAACTCTGCGATCATCGCCCCTGATAAGGTTCAAGCTTGTGATTTAGTTTCTGGTCAATGGGGTGCGCCTGGATCTGTCATTCTCTGGCGTTTCATCCATGGTAAACTATTTCATTTATGATAATTCAACATGAAAATTTGTTTTATGTGTGATATATATATATATATATATATATATATATATATATATATATATATATATATATATATATATATATATATATATATATATATATATATATATATATATATATAAAAACTAATTATGGTTTTTTCCGTAGATGGAAAAGTGGAAAGTGCAAAAGAAATAGTTGAAGAAGTTGATGACGAATTACACAAAATTGTGTTCAAGGTGATTGAAGGAGGAGTGTTGGAGGTGTATAATCCCTTAATCATCACGATTAATGTTGAAGATATGGGCCATAAGAAGTTGGTTATCTGGACTATGGAGTTCGAGAAGGTGAATGCAAATATACCTGATCCAACACCATATTTAGACTTGCTTTGTGCTGTGGTCGGAGATATGGATGCTTATTTTCTCAACCGGCCATGATGGTAACAATAAAAGTAAGTGATTGTCCAATAAAAAAAATATATTCGATATATTTGTGAGTGAATATTGCATGGTTGCTTATCAATATATGTATATTTATTTTAAACTGGAATAATTTGTGATTCAAGAACTTTTTTTAATTGCAAGTTATAATTAATTACTATATTTTAAGTGGAGAAACCAAGTAATGAAATGAGATAATGGAATCCATGCCTAACGGATGAGACATAAAATGCATTCGCTTCTAAAGTTTTATTGCCCTTTGTTCGCGGTATTTTGTGGGATTTTATAGGAATTAGAATTATATTCCAACCAATTCCCACGTTTAGATGCAAAAATACATTTAAAAAAAAAGTAATCCAATTAAAGACACTCAACAAAATACTTTACTCCATGGTTTCAAGATTCATGAAACCCAAGAAATTCTATTTCTCACTTTCTGTGACAGATATTAAAAAGTTTTTAGAAAATCTACATGAAGGATCAAATTTTTGCTCTTTATAATAACTTTCTTTAACATAATATATCGTAAAGTTTTTTAGAAAATATACGATCGCTAAAGGTTGATATCCGTCTCAACATAGCTTCCGAAAAAAGAAGTCTATCTAGGATAGATTTATAGTATGCTACAAAAAAATTTAAAAAAAATGTTAGAATTGAATTTCACTAAAAGGATTGGATTCCTTCTTGGGTTTGATTTAGGCATACTAGTTGTTTAATCAAGGGAAAGATACCACATTCTAAAGCCGAGAATCCAATGCTTTAGGCTTATTCATTAGATAGCGATATGAAGAACAATTTCCATTGATTTCATAGTGATATGGAGAACAATGTTCATGGAACTCTAACTAAGAGAAGGTTGTAGATAATGTAGATTTAGACAAAAAGATATGGAGGACCTCTTTATGGTTTATGGTGTATTGCAATGATATAAATAAACTATAAAGATATTTAAATTTTCCTCTCTAGACAATGTGTAAAATTGAACTAATCTATAACATCCCTAAAATAAGAAAACTACATCAAGTGACTAATGAATAATGATTTGTGACTAGTGATTAGTGATTAGTGACCTGAACAAAGGTGACACGATTCGATTTATACGAAATACAAATACATAAAAATTGCAATGAGATCCTTTTAGATTGTCAAACGATTGCAATCTACAAGGGTGGTTGTATAGACCCTAAGAAATTATATAGCCGATAATTTAGTTGGATATGAATATATTTTAAAGATAAACGATATAAATATAATAAATATATTTTAAAGATAAATGATATTTATGAATGTCTTCCTGTTTTTTTTGTTATACGGCATCTGAGTAAAATGAAATTAATTACGGTAAGGATTTACATAATGGAAAATATTCATTTTTCGTTGAAAGGAAACTAATGGTCCTCCATAGAATATCCACTTCCCTAACAGGGGCGGAGCTTGAGCTCTCTTTCTATGTAAACCACCAAGTTGTTTGCGAGAAAGTCATCTGACATCTTATTGCGAATGCGGTTCTTGAATATTTTCATTGCTGAAAATCGCCTCTCTGTTGTTGCGGTAGAAACTGGAAGTGTCAAAATTAACCGGACCACTCTATCAAGCAAATAATACGTCTCACGTTTCTGAGTTTCCACAAAACCCTTGCATAGGTCAGCAATAGTTGATACACCTATTGACCCATGTTCAAATCCTAGCACCACTCAGCCCTTGTGGCCATGGAGGTTCGCCTGCAGTGACTCCAGGGCATGAAGCAAAGCTTTATGTTTGCAGCGGGGGATTAGTCGGTACGCGAAAGCTGGCCTGGAAACCCTCGTTAGGGAAGTTCCCTTTCCAAAAAAATAGTTGATACACGACATAGCCTGTGATTCTTTGTCATATCGATATTAAAAATATCCAAATGATATCGTAATTGAATTCTCTCTTGCTCTGTAAAATCTTCAGGATAATACTTCTCAACAAGAAGACAAATCTGATCAATGTTAATCACTTTAGGGTGTTCTTTTGAAACTAAAGTAGAACTAAGACTTAACAACTCTATCGCCTGATCATTGAATCTACTATTCAACTTATGTAACTGTTTGTCCAATGTGGATGTAAACAAATCTACTCGATAAAAATGTTCAAAAGTAAACTGATTATCGTTTTTTCGAGGCCGATATCTAGTAGAAGTATATGGAGCTTACATATCCGGCACATCTACTTGATGTTTCTCACAAAAAATCTTTACTTGTTCAAGTAAAGAATCACATCCGTTGTTCCAGAAATCATTTAGACTCTCCTTTGTTGCTGAAACTAACTCCATGGCATTAAGAATATCTTGGGATTTCTTTTGTAGAGCTTGAGAAAGTATATCAGTTTTTCCATTACTTCTTTCATCAAGTGAAGAATAAACACAAACTCAAATGATTTCAGGTAACAGTAAGCTGCATCAGCATCTCCGCGTTGAGAATAAGTAGTAGATACATCATCAATTATTCCCTTGAGAACAACACGTGTACAATCAAACATGTTAAGCAAACTGCAAACAGAACGAAAATGAGAACCCCAACGTGTATCACCAGCTCTTCTTAATGTCCCAACTTGATTCGATCCTTTACCTGATTCAATTTCACCAAGTTCTAATAAATGTTCAATCTCAGTTGCCTTTGCCTTTTGTAACTCATCATGACGCTTACTGGAAGCACAAACTACATTAATTGTAAAAATTAAGTTTGTAAAAAATTGGTGTATAGGAATAAGTTCCCTTGAAGCAGCCACCAGTGTTAGTTGTAATCTGTGAGCGAAGCAGTGAACATAATACGCATAAGGACAATCCTTAAGAACAAGTGCCTGTAATCCATTCCATTCCACATTACTAGCACCATCACAACCTTGGCCACGGATTTTGCTAACATCAAACTGATAGTGCAAAAGTTGTTTCCACATATTTGTTTTCAAGGTTAATGATAAGGTATCCCTAACATGAACCAAATCTAAGAACCTTTCCCGTATGATCCCTTCTGCATCAACAAATCTCAAAACTATGGCCATTTGCTCTTTTTTAGACTCGTCTCGTGACTCATCAACCATGACACAAAAGTATGAATCCCTGACTTCATTACGAATATGCTTCCGAACTTTATTTGCAATAATACTAAGAATTTCTTTTTGAATATCTCCAGAAGTATACTTTGAATTATAAAGAGCATTCTCTAATATAACATTTGCAACTTCATCATTATAAGATGCTAGAAGTTTTAGTAGTTGAAGAAAATTACCTCGATTTTTGGAATTAGGCGATTCATCATGTCCTCGTAAAGCACAAGCTTGGAATGTCAACCAACGAACTGTGTCAATTGAAGCTTTTAATCGTAACTGGTTCTTCAATATTTGTGCTTCATTTTGCTTCACTATAATATTTTCAATGTGTGTTGCTTGGTTCATCAGGTTTTCAGCAAATGTAACAGCATTTCTATGTTGTGAACAACCAATGTGCTTCAAGAATGCACAATTTTTCCCATCATTAACTTTTTTCCAATTGTCAAATCCTTTAACAGTAAATGCATCATAACCATGGCACACACTTGGTTTATCATTAAATATATAACAAATAAAACAATAAGAAGCATGTGTTGTTGGAGAATACTCTAACCAACTAGGGAAAATGTTGAACCAAGAATATTGGAATCTACGAGGATGTTTCTTTGAACCTTTAGCATGATATTCTTGAAGACGTATTTGGAAAGGTCCTAAAGTCATATAAGCTCGTCTTACTTGTTCCCTTAAATTAACTGGATATTCCCACATTTGTTTTCGTTTAGCGGGATCTCTTTCTAGATGCTTAAGATCCACTTCATTAGGATTTGCTTGTGTAGCTTCATCAATATCATTCTCTTGTTGATTTTCATGTTCTTGCGGTTGCGACTCACTTGTTGAAGCTTTGTAACATTTACTCTGTTGATTATCATTATGAGTTTCTTCATCATCATTCTTTCTTTTGAAAAAAGAATCAATGGTTTTCATTTTTCCCATGAAATTGTGAGATTTATATGATTGTATCTGTAAAAGTCAAAAGTGAAATCATAAGCTCATAAACCAACAACCCAAATTCTGCAAAAAAAAAAAAAATCTTATTTATACAAATCTTATTTGATATTTTTGCAAAATTTTGCAAAAATCTAACAGCTTGTGTGTAAGATAATGCAGAAACATCTAGACACACGAATTGACTTTTTATTATAAGTTTTTTCTATAGGGGTTAAATATCATTACTTTGCTCTATCCTTTTTATAATTATTCATGTAGGAATTTCATAAATACTACATATTCAAATAATAGTCATTTAATGATATTCATCTTCATCATTATTGTATTTAAATAATTAAATTAACAAATAATGATCTCACTAAATATGTTACATTCTATAGTATTTTATGTAACCAAATATAACCTTATGTTTTTTGCAAACGTCAACAGGTTTCATCATATTCATACCAATTTACCAACACTCAAAAAGAGTATTATGTGATAGCAAAGAATTTAGTTATAGTGTCACATAATGAACCTAGACCTTTATAGTTTATTATCAAATACAGTGGCCCCAATTAATATATAATAATATAAGATAGTTATTTTTTGTATCGTTAAATTAGTCTTTGTAATTGTAGGTTCATATCCCCCATTGTGAAAAAAAAAAAAAAAAAAAAAAAAAAAAAAAAACTGATTAAGTAATTATGATTGTTTTTTTTCCAGACTTCACTTCACAATTCAATATTCACATTGATCAATTGATTACAGGCTTCCAGCGACCAGCAAGACTTTAGAGTTTAGACTTAGACTTGGAGAATAAGGCAGGAGACAGAGTGGACTGATCACTGATCTTCTGATCAGCAACACAGGCAACAGTATGACAGCACGCAGTGATGCAGGCCACAACAACGATTAAGGAGTGTTTGGTACTTTGGTTCAGATTCCAGACGAGGCACTAGGGTAGGGACGAACAATAATGACGATATGATTTTTTGTTTGATTCGGACTATTGGAAAAGCACAGGAGGGGCCATAGCCCAAATTTTTAATGTCTAGGCCTAATATTGATAAAAAAGATATGAACTATTTACACTTCTAATAAAAAAATCACGGGGGGCCACAACCCCTCCTGGCCCTTAATATACTTCGCCCCTGTTCCCTAACAACCCCTTCCCTATCTCACACAAAAAGAGAAAAACACTTTTAACATTGCATGAGTTTACCTTTTAGAAACTATTCGCTGTTTGTCGAAAAGAAATTAATTGTCGATTAACCATGTATTAATATATATTCCATATTCAATCAATAACTCTTCATTTTTAATTCTTCTTTATATATATATATATATATATATATATATATATATATATATATATATATATATATATATATATATATATATATATATATATGGAAAAGTGAATATACCCTTAAGGGTATATAAGCTTAGGTACCCAAACACACCATAATAGGTCGTTTTGTTTGATAGATTCATTATAATATTTTTAAACTTCAACCCCTAACTTTATTTAATTTCAAGATTTTCGAAATTTCACTATTATCTTTCTCTTATGTCACATCTTTTTGTCGAACACCTATTAGGTTATATTTATTGTAGTTGAAAATGAAAATTAAGTAAGACGAAGATAAATGTGTAATTTATAAAAATTAATGGAATTAATCAATTTAGAAGTTAAATTATAAGAACACTGGACAATTATAATGTATTATATGATACAAAATGACGTAGTATGGTGAGTTTGGGTACGTAAGCTTATATACCCTTAAGGGTATATTCACTTTTCCCATATATATATATATATATATATATATATATATATATATATATATATATATATATAGGGAAGAGTTATATGGAAAATGAATGATTAGGCAACACATATTTGAACCAATGAAAACATGACAACACATCACTTCCACAATAACTTCCACAATACATTACTTGTGAAGAAAGAAATAGACACGTGTCATTTGATTATTGGTTTCGGTAGATGTTGCCCTAGTTATTTGTTTTCCATAGAACTCATTCCTATATATATATATATATATATATATATATATATATATATATATATATATATATGGAAAGGTTATATGAAAAATAAATATTAGGGCATACATAATTCGGTATCAATTTACAAAAATAGTCCATCTAATTTTATTAAAATTACATTCTTTGTAAAAAAATTAATTCTACATTAACATCCAATTAAAACAAACTGCCTATCTAACACGTACGGTTTAGTCGTCATTGGATTGGATGATATGAAATCAGCGAACAAAAAACATTCCTAACGCACTTTAATTCTAACCAAATTAATATATTAACTCTAGCTAAACGATTAAATTTACTTTAGTGCCTATTAACCAAAATCCAAATGTATAAAATTTACAAACATTTATTGAATATCTCAAGAAGTATACTTTGAATTATAAGGAGCATTCTCTAATATAACATTTGCAACTTCTTCATTATAAGATGCTAGAAGTTTTAGTAGTTGAAGAAAATTACCTCGATTTTGGAATTAGGCGATTCATCATGTCCTCGTAAAGCACAAGCTTGGAATGTCAACCAACGAACTGTGTCAATTGAAGCTTTTAATCGTAACTGGTTCTTCAATATTTGTGCTTCATTTTGCTTCACTATAATATTTTCAATGTGTGTTGCTTGGTTCATCAAGTTTTCAGCAAATGTAACAACATTTCTATGTTGTGAACAACCAATGTGCTTCAAGAATGCACAATTTTTCCCATCATTAACTTTTTTCCAATTGTCAAATCCTTTAACAGTAAATGCATCATAACCATGGCACACACTTGGTTTATCATTAAATATATAACAAATAAAACAATAAGAAGCATGTGTTGTTGGAGAATACTCTAACTAATTAGGGAAAATGTTGAACCAAGAATATTGGAATATACGAGGATGTTTCTTTGAACCTTTAGCATGATATTCTTGAAGACGTATTTGGAAAGGTCCTAAAATCATATAAGCTCGTCTTACTTGTTCCCTTAAATTA